CGTCTCTCTCTTCGCGGCACACCTACAAGTACCCTTTTCCCTAGCCAACTCCCCAGTGCCAAGGACCTGATATCTATATTATTGAACTAGGGCTCGCTGTACGGCCCTATGACAGACAAACTATACCAAAACACACTCAACACATACACAAATGAAGCACACACATCATCTTTAATGACCAAAGAACAATATAGTCTAAAACAACCTCTACAGTTATGGACAGTCCCCTTTTCCGAAATGCTCGGGCAGTGGCGGCAGTTATATTTACCTATCCTACCCGGGCCATTCCCATGGATGAACCAAAGGACACGATTCCACCTCCTGTAGTGCAGCGCCAACTAGGCTACGATCTTCGCCATGCGAGACTCAGTGGCACACGCAGGGTGAGTGGTTCAAGTATTAACGGACAATGTCAACGACAGTACAAGACGCAGATAACCCCCAAAAATCCAGGGACAAGAACACCTACCTAAACATGGTACAACCCCAACACAACTGTCTTAGCATACTATCAGCGCACGAGGAATAACAACAGCTAACCAACACATACGACGACAGCGTTAACACTACACAACCTATCTGTCAATTCCTAACAAAAAAAAATACAATCGCGTCTCTCAAAATGTCCTCATCCTCGCCGTCCCTTTTCTCTCCCTTCTCCCCGTTCAGCTCCGGTTCAAACGTGTACGTTGCACCAGTGTTCACGCATCTCGGGTTTTCCCCGTGCACATTTTTGGTCCGTCAAACACCAACATGTAGTTACACGACGTATTGTCTATGTCCCACAGGGCTATGACACCCAGCCTCAGGTGCTTTTATTGCCAATGCATCTTCAATGTTCTATATCCATATTCGCGGTGGTTGACCCCTGCCTCGCCTTCCACAAACTACACCCTCCATCACCGTCTTTTCCAAGCCACCATTACGTTTGATGTGGCCAAAATACTTCAACTTTCGGGACAGGATGCTGTTTATGAGGCAGTTCTCCTTGACTCGTGTAGAATGTCGATGTTTTCCCTCTTTTTGATCGGTGTTATTCTTAGAATCTTTCTGTAACACTTTAATTCAAAAGCTTCAATCTTTTTCTTCATTGATTGAGTGAGAGTCCAAGACTCACAACCGTAATTTGCCACAGAAAAAATGGATGATCTCAAGATTTAACTTTAGCTAATTTACGGGTGCATTGCCATAGGTTCTTCGTGTTGTTTAATCTCTGCTTCTCCACAAGTCACCTTAGATAATATTATGTCGATACGGGTGAAGGTGTATGTTGAGCGCACCCTGTTTTCATCGTGGCGACACTTTCACGTCAGCATACATACTAACACATCTACACACATACCCGCTTAAACAGTGCACTGACTATCAATCAACTATGTCTTGTTACCACTGTGAAGAATAAACCCTCTCAATGTTTCCATACTGTAATATGAGAACCCTGTAACTTAGTCACAGTGGAAGCAAAGTTCAACCAAGCGGGCGATGGATAGATAGACATTCCGAGGCCGTAAATACCATTATCACCATCCACACATGTCGTTTTCCCATCTATCCCTCCATCGCTCCTTTACATTCTGGCTGTTACCAGCTTTGCACTTGGGTTCGACTAATACTTTGTATAAAAATCACCCTTACTGTCTCTATTTGATAGCTGACAGTAAAAGAGAAGCACTGTGTTACTAGACCCTTGTTTTTACCTGATTTCATATTTGGTCAATCCATCCATTTACCATTCCTTTCATCCACTAATACAGCCATCCATAATTTCGTCCATTATCTACCCACTCATGTAACCCAGGACACACTCATCCATTCACTCCACCATCCACACATGCCGTTTTCCCATCTATCCCTTCATCGCTCCTTTACATTCTGGTTGTTACCAGTTTTACTCTCGGGCTCGACGGATTACTTTTGTATAACAAGCATCCCTACTGTCTCTATTTGATAGCTGACAGTAAGAGAGAAGCATCTTATCACGAGATCCCTGTTTTTACCCGATTCTATATATTAGCAATTTCATTCATCCACTAATATAGCCATTATTTACCCATCCACTCATCTACCCACCCATCTATCTGACCACCCACCCGCCCACTCACCTCACCATCCACCCACTCACCTCACCATCCACCCTAGCTGTTTTTCCATTGCTCCCTTACATTCTGTTTTTTAACCAGTTCTGCGCTCGGTTCGACTGATACTTTGTAAAACAATCACCCTTACTGTCTCTATTTCATAGCTGACAGTAAGCGAGAAGCATCGTGTCTTGATACCCTTGTTTCTACCTGATTTCATATATCGGCCGATCCATCCATCTACTATACTTTCCATCCATCCACGAGTATAACCATCCATCATTTCGTCTATTTGTCTACCCGCCCATCTATTGCACTACCCACTCATCCATTCACCCCACAATCCACGATCTATCTATCTATCTAATCTATCTATCTATCTATCTATCTATCTATCTATCTATCTATCTATCTATCTATCTATCTATCTATCTATCTATCTATCTATCTATCTATCTATCTATCTATCTATCTATCTATCTATCTATCTATCTATCTATCTATCTATCTATCTATCTATCTATCTATCTATCTATCTATCTATCTATCTATCTATCTATCTATCTATCTATCTATCTATCTATCTATCTATCTATCTATCTATCTATCTATCTATCTATCTATCTATCTATCTATCTATCTATCTATCTATCTATCTATCTATCTATCTATCTATCTATCTATCTATCTATCTATCTATCTATCAGCATGCCTGTCTGCCGGCCTGCTTGCCTGTCTGTTGGTATTTGTTCGTTAGCACAGGCACCACTTTTATTCCATGAGATGGACCAATGCCATCCCCACGACCCAACCTGGGTCACGCCTTATTGGCCAACCCCTCCCTCCCTCTTTAGACACTCAGTGTACGCTGTTTGTGGGCGTCTACTTCGTCCATTTCCTGATGGACCCGTTTTTTGCTCCCCGTCCGTGCATTGGTGATTAATACGCCAGTACCTGTCCTTTACATCCTTTTAAAGGAAGTTTTTCGCCAGGAACACAGATGAGTATCATTTATTGTGTACATTAGTCCCATGTAGACACTTCATAGTTAGAGCATATTTGTGTATGTGTACTGTATTGTTCTTTATGTGCTGATGAAGGCTAATCTCCGCAACGTCCTTTGTTCGTTTTTTGTGATCAATTTTGTAAAGCTAACATAAATTGTTTGTTGTTTCTTACCAACTTTTTTTCTCCCCTATAATTTTCTACTCCTTTTAAAAACATCATCTAAGTAGCACATACATCCAATGCCTCATCAAAACCTGACGCTGAACAAGAAGTAGAGGAAGAAAGAAGAAAAAGAAGAAGTAGTCCTAGTAGAAGCAGCAACAGTAGTCGTAGTAGTAGTAGTAGTCGTCGTAGTAGTAGTACTACTACTAGTAGTAGTAGTAGTGAATAGTAGTAGTCGTCATCGTAGTAGTAGTAGTAATAGTAGTAGTAGCAGTAGTGAGCAGTTGTAGTAGTAGCAGTAGTCGTCGTAGTAGTGGTAGTAGTCGTCGTAGTAGTAGTAGTAATAGTAGTAGTAATAGTAGTAGTAATAGTAGTAGTAGCAGTAGTGAGCAGCACTAGTAGTAGCAGCAGCAGTAGTAGTAGTCGAAGAAGAAGATGCAAAAGAAGAAGAAAAAGAACGACAACAACAACAAGAACAAGAACAATAAGAACAAAAAGAAAAAGAAAAAGAAAAACAACATCAACAACAACAACAAAACAACAACAACAAGAGGAAGAAAAATATTATTAATAATAATAATGATAATAAGTGTAAGAAGAAGAAGAGGAGGAGGAGGAGAAGAAGAAAAAGAAGAAGAAGAAGAAGAAGAAGAAGAAGAAGAAGAAGAAGAAGAAGAAGAAGAAGAAGAAGAAGAAGAAGAAGAAGAAGAAGAAGAAGAAGAAGAAGAAGAAGAAGAAGAAGAAGAAGAAGAAGAAGAAGAAGAAGAAGAAGAAGAAGAAGAAGAAGAGCAACAACAACAACAACAACAGCAACAACAACAACAACAACAATTTGAAGAAGAAGAAGAAGAAGAAGAAGAAGAAGAAGAAGAAGAAGAAGAAGAAGAAGAAGAAGAAGAAGAAGAAGAAGAAGAAGAAGAAGACGTTGCAGAACAACCAAAGCATTTTTTTTTTTTTTTTGGTGTTGCGGTTGTTCTAGGCAAATGTTACGTTCAACAGTTTGTCATTGCTTTCTAGACGTTCAGCTCTCGGTACCAATGTCGAAACCAACGCAAGACGGATCGAACCCGGCACCCCGGCATTACAAAGCGTGTTCGTTACGCCTAAGCCACACACACACACACACATACACACTTATATTTATTTTTAAACAGTGCAAAGCAAGCTGAATTTTATATTTTGTTAGGCGAACCAAGCTTTTATTTTTCGTGACGTAAACGAATTTTGTAATCAGAACAAAACCCTTGTTAGTTTGGAACCCATTTTTTTTTTTCGATACAGAGATCTAGGAGAGGGGCAACTGCTGGCACAGAATTCACTTGCTTGTTGTTGAATCTGCCCAGAAGACAGCAGGTGGTTGTGGTGGAGCATGATCACCTGCCCAGCACTAACTGCCTGGTTCTGCACCACTTGGCGGTAACTGATGCGTGTCAGGCTGAATGTTGGAAGCCGCCGTGGTCTGGCGGCTAGAAGCTCGGCTGCGAATCGCTGGTGGGTTCGGTTCCTGACGAGGGCCAGATTTGTTTTCAAAAATTATCTTGTCTGCCATGTCGCAACACTCGGGTTCTGGAACAAGACTAAAGTCCGGAGATGGACGAACACCCAGAACTTTCCGACTGAGTTTACAGTCGGCAAAGGCGAAATAGAAGAAGAAGAAGACAGTTTCTCTTATGGCACTGTCATAATGATAGCGAACAGTTCTCCTATTGCACAAAGTTTCCATGAATAACCATTCTTTGATTTACCTGACAGGGTTTTGCAAAAATGTCCACAAAGAAGGAGACCACGTGATTCTGGTGTACGTGCCGGAAGTACATAGTTCAAAATGGAGCAATGGTGAGTCAACCGTCCAGTCTTGGGTTCTTTTCTGTTATTTCCCCACATCACGCCAACTTCGAGATTTGGTAGGGAAATCCAAAAACCGTCCCACAGTATTGGGGGGTTAGGTTTAGGCTTAGTAGTAGTCGCTATTCATTTAACACTAGCCCTAACCCTAACCCCCCCCCCCCCCCCCCCTTTTTGCCACTATGGAGCGGTTTGGGATTTCCCTACCAAATCTCGAAGTCGACGTAATGTGGTGAAATACAGAAAAGAACTCAGTCTTGACTCCCTTTAGTTTTGTCGAGTGTTTAATATAGCTTCACAAAGTATACCTAGCGGCCTACCGTAACTTTGTAACACTAGTGTCTTGAGAATCATCAGTCACAGCACCTGCAGGCAAGTAACACCAAACATGCTGAGATCATGAAGTTCCCCTGTGGTAACTTATGGCAACACTAAAAAGACCACACAAGTTTTAGATCAAAAGAGGTGTCGCCAATCATGGATACCATACAGGTAGCCAAAGAAGAATAATAAACCAACCCAGAGCTGGTGTTATCAGTCGCCACACGCTGGGGGATATACTGGAGATAGGATCCGGGCGCTAATTATTTGTTGCGATATGCAATGAGGATAACTAACTACCAACCAACCAACCAGTCAACCAACCAACTAACTTATGGATGTGAGTCATGGGCGCTTACTTAATCTTCGTAGCTTTTGAACTGACATGCGACAGAACAATTCTTAGAATACAGTGGACAAGTCAGGATTATTCAACTCAGTTTACTTAGTGGCCCAACGTTTGAAAATGTTGATGGCCACGGGCCAGATGTCCGAGCGCCAGCACAGAAAGATCATTAATAGTTTAAAAATCTGCGGGCCATTTACTATAACTCAGCAGGCCACTTGTGGCCCGCGGGCTGCCAGTTGAATAGCCCTGGTACATGATCTGAACGTCTAGGAGATTTAGCTCATAAACAGAATCCTTTCCACAAAGCTGAGCTATTTTGGACATGGTAAATGTGGGGGTGGCCGGGAGAGAACAGCGATGGAGGGTAGTTTCCGGACAACTAGACACAGGTCAACTAGACACAGGTCAACTAGACAACTAGACACAGGTCAACTAGACAACTAGACACAGGTCAACTATACAACTAGACACAGGTCAACTAGACAACTAGACACAGGTCAACTAGACAACTAGACACAGGTCAACTATACAACTAGACACAGGTCAACTAGACACAGGTCAACTAGAAAACTAGACACAGGTCAACTAGACAACTAGACACAGGCCAACTAGACGCAGGTCAACTAGGCAACTAGACACAGGTCAACTAGACAAATAGACCAGATTCTAGCCCAGTGACGTGGTATAAAAAAATTACAATACCTCTTTCCCAGTAAAGACAGACTGGGATTTGTTATGTCATCTCTCCTCTTCAACCTTGTGATTGATTGGATATTAAAAAACACAGTAGACAGGACATTAAGAGGCATACGATGGACTTCATTCACCATGCTTGAGGACCTTGACTTTGCAGATGATATAGCAATCCTATCACATAAACATGAACATATACAAGAGACAAGTAACAGACTACACTGCACAGCAGAAATGGTGGGACTGAGAATAAATACAAACTAAGATAATGACAAACAGTCCAAACCAACAACCAGTGACCATAAGTAACCAATCACTTGAAAATGTAGAACATTTCACATATCTTGGCAGTGTTCTGTCCTTACTGGGAGGGACAGAGGGAGACATACAGTCACGCCCGAACAAAGCTAGAGCTGCTTTTGGAAGGATGAGGCAAATCTGGAAATCCAACAATTACTGCAGAGGAAAAAAACTCCGACTCTACAAGAACATCATTTTGCCAGTTCTTCTTTATGGAGCGGAATGCTGGAGAATGACCAAAAAGGATGCACACAAGCTGTCCACCTTCCACCACACATGTCTACGTAGAATTATCAAAATTTTCTGGCCAGATACAATCTCAAACACTAAACTACTTCAAGCCACAAACCAAGAAACTTTAGACAGTATGATTACCAAGAGAAGATGGAAATGGCTTGGCCACGTTATGATAATGACTTCTGAAATACCTGCCAAAACAGCTCTGACATGGACACCAGAGGGAAAGAGAAAACAGGGGCGCCCAAAAACAACATGGAGACGAACGATGGAAAGTGACATGAGTGCGGCATCTTTGACATGGAAAACTGCACTGAAGATTGCAAAGGACAGGAAAGCATGGTAAGTCCTCTCTGTAGCCTCATGTGCCACTAGGCATAACGAGAACTGATGATGATTCCTTGGTCTTTCCCTCGCCTTCCTCTCAGAGGTTCTGCAAAAAAAAAAAAAAAAAAAACCTTGTGCAGTTTGGTCTAGTTTATTTGTATTGCCACTAGATCGCCGTACCATTTCATTCATTTATGTCAATTTAATCCAGACTGTGTTTGATTCCAACTTTCTCTCTGTGATGGTATTGGTTTTTCACCCTAAATCTTCTTGTGGTGTAAGTGAGCCTAATTAACACTCTCACCCACTCAAAAACAAAACAAAAAACAACGTTATTTCCTTTCGGTTTAGTACCCACGATTATATACTCGTAATAATTAGATACACGTTATACTGCTCCTCTACTGGGAGTATTGTTCTAATAATTTCAGCTGTAGTTGCTCTGATTTGATGACATACTGACCCCATGACCTGCATTCTTCTGCCTACAGCCGTGTATGTGCACGACCCGGATGTCATGGAGTCCATGATGACGGAAGAGGAGCTTCGCATCCGCGGGGATCTTGAGGTGTTTGCAGACAAGCTGAAGATTCATGGGGTGAGTTCGGTTGTTCAGGCCAACATCTGCTGGCGGATGACATGGAATAGCACTTAAAGGAATGAAGTGAGATGCAAGGCCATCCGCCACAGAAACAACAAACATTCTGGGAGGGAAGGGCAATGGGGGGGGGGGGGGTTCACCTACCACCCACCAATAATTTTTTAGATGCAGGAAGGGGCTGAAATCTTGGGGGGGGGGGGGGGGGGGGTGGTGTACAATCATAAAAATAAAAAAATCTTCGGAATTGGAACTATTCGCTTGCTGCTGAAGTTGGGGACGGAGCGCTTATTGGAGTGTCCTGAGTGATGTGATGTCGATCCTTAATTCAGCATTCAACATTCGTAATAATAACAATAATATCCATAATAATAATATTTATTATTATTGTTGCTATTCTTATTTCGCATTTAAACTAGGCTGTAGTCCCTTGTGAACCGCTGCCCCTAGAAAATGATTAGTACATCAAGCCACTTGAGCCTTTTTTGTTGTGGTGAAATAATAATAATAATAATAATGTGATAAATGGTAAATAAAAAGAATATATTTGAAATAACACTTTATATACACAAACAAATACTTATACAGAACGGTTATATATGGTAGGAGCAGGACCTTCGTGGTCCTAAAACTATGGGGGGTTGGGGGGGGGGGGGTGTCAGAACGTCTACGATCCCGCGGCTACAAGATGAACACACTGTTAGCCAGCCGACTGTGCTCATAGAAGATCTGTTCTCTTTCCACGAGGCATCTACACTCATTTCTCTAAACAACCAGATGTTGTTTTGCTGGTTTCCCTTGAAACTCTGTGGATTGCACATCGGCATTTTCAGTCCATCAGTGCTAGAATCCCTTCTTCAGTAAATCCCGCAGCGTGTAGCGGCTGAGCACACAAGTTCTGTGTCGGTTTCTTATACTTCTTTGGCTTCCTGCACAGTATTCTTGTCTGGCCACACCCCTTTTAACGTGTTGTTTTTGCAGTCTAATCATGGTTGCAGATTCACAGTCATCACTCGATGATCACAAACGTCTTACTTCTCACTGTGTGGCTCGTTGCATGTCACTTCTTGATCTTTCTGGGCATTCAACCTTCGCTCCGTGTATTTATTGCTGAATGATGACTAAAATGTATGTGTTTCTGTTAATTTATCTTACAAGAGAGAATACATAATGAGCCTAAATAATTTGTTTTTCTTTTTGTCTCTTTTGTAACCTAGCAATGAGTGTGACATAACTCCCAGTGTGGGTACCAGGGCCCCATTTGTTGGGAAAAAAAAGAATAGACCCACTGCCTCCCCAAACAAGCGTGTCGTAGGTTAGGGACTTCCGTCAGTCGGAGTGCATCTTTCCGAGCAGCAAGGTATAACTAGCACACAAGCCAATAAAAGGGATTTGCACGCAAAATCAGGCCCTGGCACAAAGCCAAAGTCCAAGTGGACGAACAACCAGGACTTTAACCAGGACTTTCTGCCGGAGCTTACAGCCGGTCAACAAAGAAGTAAAGTAAGTAAAAAGTAAACGACCCTTTTCCACCTCTTTTAGGCGTATAGGGCATATAGGGCTAGACCTATATTTTTATAGACCAATCGGCAAAAGATGGGTGATGTTGTCAGCATCACACCGGCCGCCTTTACTTTCCCGGGACTGCACCTGGTACCCACTCAAGGCTGGGTCGACCTGGGAGCCAAGGTCAGGGAGCGAACCCACGACCTTCCAATCCGCGACGAGCATCTAGCCGCTCGGCCACGGCGACTCCCCAACAAAAAAGTATGACATAATAAATCGGGCCCCCTACCTTTCCCCACCCCAACGTCACATTTGATGTTTATTCACTCTTATTTCCCCCTTCGAGTAATTTCCATTTTCCCTTTTGTTCTCCCCCCCCCCCCCTTTTTTTCCCCCCAATAATTCACGTTTTCCCTTTTGTTTCTTCCCCAGCTGGGAGGGAGAGTAATGAGTGTGATATCCAACAAGCCAGGCGAAGGCATCAACAAGACAGCAGAAGACGAGGGCGTCGACTTGATCGTTGTGGGCAACAAAGGAAAGAGCTCGATGAAACGGTCACTGGTGGGGTCAGTCAGCGACTACCTTGTCCATCACGCCAATGTCCCGGTCTTCGTCTGCAAGCAGAAGAACAAGCCCGTCCCACCCCAGTGATGTCATTGGTCACCACTGCAATGTCAAGGTCACTAATGATGTCGTTTCTTCCAGGTCTCTGATAAGGGGATGTCCAGTTCACTTTCTTTCTGTTGTTTGTGAGTCATCATCACCATAATAATAAACCACTTCTGCCTTAAAGCGGCGTAGGGAGGAAACATTTGCGATCCAGGGCATGTTGGCTGTCACTGGCCATAAACTAGTTTGTTTGTAGCGTGTTTGATATGATGGCATAACGCATTTTGTTTTGTTTTATTTCAATTTCCTCAATAATTCTTGAGCAATTTCAAGTGTGGGTACATTGTGATATCTTTCCAGTGAAAGTTGACTGCAATGAATCCGTTGATAACTATGGAAATATGAAATGGTATCGCCTCTATAAATGAGCTGCAATTCTAAATTCATTCATTCATTCATTCATTCATTCATTCATTCATTCATTCATTCATTCATATACACGGGACAGTGAGATTCTGTTCTAGACAGGTGGCCCTTAATCCTCAGGCGCAAGACCCCTGTCTACACCACCCTAGAGTTGTAAAACAGAGAGTAGTGATAGTTATAGCAAATATTCTGTTGCTGTAATCACACACCGTGTTTCCTCGAAGTAACACCTTCCCGCCAACAAAGCCCTAGCACTATTTCCGGATGATTTTAATATAAGACCTTCCCCAAAAATAAGTCCACTTAAGATTGTCGGCTAGAAAGAGAGACTTGTAGTCCAGTGTCCATTTGGAGTACAGACGCCACTGGTGCGCACTTGATAATGAACTGATATGTTCAAGCCTAGTTTGTAGAAGATTGTGACCCGGGTGGAGAATTCGTGCGATAAAACTAAAATCACCGACAGCAGAGTTACCGATGGACTATGTTTAGGCTACGAGGATAAGAAATGCTCGTTTAATTAGGAAAAACTGTATAGCTGGGCACGAGAGACTGTGGCCTGTGGTTCTACGGGGAATAGAGTCACAAGAAATTCAGGCCAGAATTTAGAATTTGGAGAGTTACGACGATGTTCCAGAAGACCATGACATGACTATATTTGAATAAATATATAATTTTGTACATGAATTAATGAAAAGTTTTAAATCTAGGGAATTTTTTTTAAAAAGACATTCCTCACAAAATAAGTCCCATTGCTTACTTTGAAGCATCTTCTTCTTCTTCTTTCGTTCGCTTGAAATAAATTATCTTTATCTGCAATGTTGTCTTTAGTATGAACTTCACTGTCTTTTGTAATTCACTCAGCCACCCGTACAGTTTTTCTTGCGCCGATTTTTCTTTGGCCAAAAGTGATTCTTTGAAGCAAAAAGACCTGGTTTTTTTTTCGGAGAAATCCGATTTGTATTTACCTTATTTTTCCTATGAAATAGTCCCTCCACTGGGCGTCCGCCGATTGTGCTTGTGGTGCGTATTTGAAGCACTGTACGACATTAAGAGATTGTGGCATGGTGCTGTCCCAGTGATAGATGTTTTATGTATATTTAATATATTCGTTTCCAATTAAATGTTATATTAATCTATCGAGACGTAGACTTTGCTATCATTCATTCATTCATTGATTCATTGATTCATTGATTCATTCATTCATCATTCATTTATCATTCGTTTCTTCTTCTTCTTCTTCTTCTTCTTCTTCTTCTTCTTCTACTACTACTACTACTACTACTACTACTACTACTACTACTACTACTACTACTACTACTACTACTACTACTACTACTACCACCACCACCACCACTACCACCACCACTCCCTTTCGCATCTTTCTCCTTCTCACCTCTTTCTTCTACTTCTTCTTCATATTTCAAAAACTTAGTCATCCCAGAAACAAAACTAACCGGATCTGATGGGGTCAGTAACAGTCGCCATAGCCTCTAGACCACGAGTTCCCAAACCTCTGAATCGCGACCCCACTGCAAGCTGCAGCGTAGGACAGTTAGTGTTGGCACATCTTACAGATGCCTCGTGTATTTTTACATTGCGCCTGAAAGCTTCAAGATTTTACTGGGACTCTTTTCCATTAGAACAGCGAAGGACATTTCTGCTGGCACAGGATCAGAGCAGCTGTGGGACAACTCGTCTGCAGTGAATATTGCAACTTCGACTAACTGATTAGATAACTTACGCACATTCTCACTTTTCAAGTAGACGCTTACATACAGACACGCACTTACTTACTAATACAGTAGCATAGCGTGCTTGTATATGCTTTCAATAATGTTTTTTTACAGCACAACTTGATTAGCTTGAATAAATATATGAATTGTATCTGATTTTTTTAAATGTTTTGTTTCACTTACGCTTTGTGACCTAAATTTCTAGGCCCGTGGATAAAATCCGAAGAAAGATGAATCTCGGAAAACAGAATAGGACAGGCATATAATTTTAATTAGATCTGGAAAAAAAATACCCCTCAGAATAGGACAGGCCAAAAATGAAAAATATTGTATGCAATAAATCCACGTTACCGTAGGTAAGAAAAGGAGTTCCCGCATGCTATGAAAAGCCAGTTTTAACATAGGGCTGTGAATCCTGGACAATGAATAAACAGGCCACACAATTTCTCGAGGCCTTGGAGATCTGGTTTTAGAGATAAATCCTCATAATTCATTAGAAAGCCACACACACACACACACACACACGCACACACACACGCACACACACACACACGCGCGTGCGCACACACACACACACATACATAAGCCCAGATGTTCTGAAAAAGGCGACAACTGGATGACAACTGGTCACAAACATCAGAAAGAGGCAGTCATCATGTTCGGTCATGTTATGAGAATAAAAAAACTTGAACATGTTGTGACCACTGGAAAGATTTATGGAAAGAGAGACAGGGGAAAACAATGTGAGAACATTCTTGACAGCTTTTTTGTCGTGGCATGGAGGGGTGTCAAGACACGAGCTGATACACACAGTTGCAGATAACATATTGTAAAGATGCATGATCGCCCACGTCAGTCGGCAAGGCACCTGATGATGATGATGATGATAACAGAGCCATGAAAGTGTCAGACTCTTCTTCCGACTCGAGACTAAAATACCATCATCTCCTCGGTGTCTGTGCCACAGAGATGTCCGTCCAATCTCAGGCTGCGATAGACTGCACACGGACTTTGTTTCACTTGACAGAATACTTGGACTTGAGGCTGGTCATAGTTTTTCCCCGAGACACACACACACACACTGGGTGTCACACAAACATGTGAGTAAAAGTAAAGGGCCCTTCAGCCGCATTGGGCATATAGGGCTAGACCAGGGGTCTACAACCTTTGTCCGGTCACGCCATCTTGAGTATATGACAAGACAGCCACGCCCCTTCTTCGTTTCCACAAAAAAAAAAAAACCCAAATGTGATTAAAAAGAAAGAAAAAAAAATAGATTGCCACAAGAAGTGAAACAGAAACTATGGAGACACGTATTGGTCAGAGTATATTTTTCAGCTCTAATAAAATGCGCGTATTATCATAGTAAAGAAAAGTAAAGAACCCTTTTGCACGCCTTTCAGACGTATTGGGTAAATAGGGCTAGACCTACATTTTATAGACCAAACGGCACTTGGTGGGTAAGGTGTTCAGCATCACGCCGGCCGCCTTTACTTTCCAGGACTGCACCTGGTACCTATTCAGGGCTGGGTCGACCTAAGAGCCCATGGTGTGTTATCATAGTAATCAGATTTGTAACCGTAGAAGTACAAACGGCTCATGTAAACAAAAATTGTCCTTGTTCTTTTGTTTATTAAATAGTTTTTTAAATATTTTATTTATAATGAGACTAAAACAAATTGTAAGTGTAACAAATTATTACAAGTACAGATAAACTTACTTTCAAAATTGATTGCCGCCCCCCCCCCTCTCCTTGAAATCTCCTCGCGCCCCCGTTGAAACCTCCTTGCGCCCTCCTTAAAACTGCCTTGCCCCCCCCCTTTCTTGAAACTCCCCCCCCTTGAAAGCTCCGTGCGCCCCCCCCCCCCTCGAAACCTCTTTGCGTCCCCCTTGAGACCTCCTTGCAGCACCCATTGAAACCTCCTTGCCGCCCCCTTTCCTAGGTTGGAGACCACTGGGCTAAACCTGTATTTCATAGACCAGTCGGTCGGTGATGTGGTCAACATCCCGCCAGCCGCCTTTACTTCCTCTGACTCTACCAATACCCATTCAAGGCTGATTCCACCTGGGGGCCAAGGTCATTTTGTGTTTAAATTCGGCTTAGTCGGAACTGGAACCCACGACTTTCAGATCCGCAGGTGAGTGTCTTGCAGATATACCACGACTCCTCTCCACCCCCCCCCCCCCCCCCCCCCGCATAAAGAAATGTAAAACTTTTTATTGAACCCATAACTCACATACTGTTTGTATTTGTTACACACAATAATGCAAACTCACGATTGAAGATTTAGGAACGACAACTTGTGATAAAGCGCTACCAGATGTGAGAGAATGTTGCGGAAGTGTAGAGAAATATTTTTAAACTGGTTATAAATCTTCTTTGCATTTCCGTAATGTTCTCGCACTTCTGATAACACTTTATGACACATTTTCTTGTCCATTTAACATCACAACACTACTAGCTTTGCATAAAGCTGTTCTTAACTTGTCTAGTTACTTCTTCTTCCTCTTCCTCTTCTGCATTCCGATCTCTTAAGGTTCGTTGCCGTAGATATCACCCGCCTCTATTCATCTCTCTGGTTGTTGACCCCAAATGTTTGTAGGTCTGCCTGGAGGTTATCTCTTCATCGATTGCCAAAATCTTCTTCTTTCTTTTTTTCAAAAATCTGCTTATGTCTCTAGGCGTCAAAGTTCATCAAACGATCGGCAGCCGAGCCAGGGCGCGCTCAGTCGCTTGATAAGCCGTGATGTTATGCAGTCTCAAGGTGTCAGTGACTCCTTCAATCCATTTTTCTCTGTCGTCCCCTGCCTCTTGATATTTTGATTTTTCAGGTTGTACGCTCTTGCTGCTGACATCGTTGGTTTCATCCTCATTAGATGACCAAACCATTTTATTCTTTGTTTCTCCAAAAATATGACGATGCGTGTTGTTCTAGCAGTTCTTGTGATCACGTAGTTTCTCATTTGATCTCTTCTGCTTTTATTCACAGCATTCTCAAACATCTCATCTCACAGGTGGTTAGTTTCGTGTTCTTTTTTTCCCCCCAAGATTGTCAGGATACTATAGATACATATTACTATTTATCTACATAATTCACATGAATTTAATATTTCCTAATAAGATACATAGAATATAACATGTCTCAACAAAATACACAGAATTTAGCATGTCTCAACAAAGTACATAGAATATAACATGTCTCAACAAAATACATAAAATCTAGCATGTCTCAACAAAATACATAGAATATAACATGTCTCAACAAGATACATAGAATATAACATGTCTCAACAAGATACTTAGAATAAAACATGTCCCAACAAAATACACAAAATTTAGCATGTCTCAACAAAGTACATAGAATATAACATGTCTCAACAAAATATATAAAATCTAGCATGTCTCAACAAAATACATAGAATATAACATGTCTCAACCAGATACATAGAATATAACATGTCTCAACAAAATACATAGAATATAACATGTCTCAACAAAATACATAGAATATAACGTCTTAACAAGATACACAAAATATAAAATGTCTCAACAAGATACATCTGAATATAATATTTCTCAACATGATATTCACGAATAGAACATTCCCCAACGAAATACACATAAATATTACACTTGCCAACATGTTACATTCGAATATTATAGGTGTCTTCACGATACGTGCAAATATAAACATTTCTCACCATGATACATAGAAATGTAACATTCGTCAACCTGACACATAGGAATATAGCTTTCTCAACATGATAAAAACAATATAACATTTCTCAACATGATACTAAACAATATAACATTTCTCAACATGATACAAACAATATGGCATTTCTCAACATGATACATGGAAATGTAACATTCGTCAACTTGACACATAGGAATATAACTTTCTCAACATGATACAAAACAATATAACATTTTTCAACATGATACCTAATAATATAACATTTCTCAACATGATACAAACAATTTGACATTTCTCAACACAATACAAAACAATGTAACATTTCTCAACATGATACAAAACAGTGTAACATTTCTCAACATGATACAAAACAATATAACAGTTTTCAACATGATACAACACACCGTGGTTTAGCGACTAGACGTTCGCCTGCGCATTTGAAGCTCGTGAGTTCAAATCTGCCTGTTTTTTTCTTCCAAAAAGGATCTCGGTTCCCATGTCAACCCAGCCTTAAATGAGTACTAGGTAAAATCATGGGAAGTAAAGGCGGCCGGCGTGATGCTGACCACATCATCCACCAAGTGCCGTTAGATCTATAAAATGTAGCTCTAGCCCTATGTGCCAAATATGACAGAAGGTTTGGAAAATCTGTCATTTACTTCTTGTTTTACTTACAATATACAGTCGACTTCGCAGCAACATGTATACACAATTCAAAATCTGACGAATCAGCCACGTGCACATGTGGATTACCACCTGAGACAACAGATCACGTCCTCCAAGACTGTCCTAAGTACAACGTGTCAAGACAAAACTGTTGGCCAAGAGAAACACCAGTGCGAGGCAAACTTTACGGGTCGCTGATTGAATTACAAAAGACAGTGAAGTTCATACTAGAGAAAACATTGGAGATCCAGACATTATATTAGAAGAGACGAAAGAAGAACAATATGATACAATCGTATACGAACATCTCAAACGGATACATTGAAAATACAGAATATCTTTGCAGGTTTGGGCCGGCTGATATTGCAAAGGCAAGCAAGCTGCATGGAACAGTGGAAGACGTTCACCGCACCATAGATATCATAGATGCATGCGACCTTGTCATCTGAAAAGAAGGCCGAAAAGGTTAAAAGAGACATTCAAGAAGTCATGACAACCTGATTCAAGCAAGTCATGTCTGCCCTTGTTTCACGATGGGGTTAAGGTCAAAGAGATGGACGGAGATTGTATAAGATGTGTACAAGACACTTGTAGGCGTCTGTGGCTTAGGCGCTGCGAACGTGCTTTGTAATGCTGAGTTCGATCCGAGCTGCGGACGGCTTGTCCGCCAAGAGTTGACCGTTCAGTAGCAATGGCAAACTACTGAACGTAAAATTTAAGTTTTTTACAGGACCTTGCAGAACCAACCCCAGCATCCATTGGCTGTTATGGTTTTTTCTAGCAAATGTTACGTTCAGTAGTTTGCCATTGCCACTGAACGATCAGCTCTCGGCACCACTGTCGAAACCAGCGCAATACAAATCGTCTGCAGAAGGGATCGAACCCGGCACCCCCACACTACGAAGCGCGTTCGCAACGTCTAAGCCACAGACGCCGGTCAACTAGGTACCCCTGTAAAAGGTGTCTTCACTGGCCATGTTCATCGTACTGCTTGAATCTACAACCACTTAAGTTAGAAGAAGAACGGAGCACTTATCGGTTACCATGATGTTGGTCCGTTGTTCAGACTTCCACAACTATAGAAAAAAGATAGAATTCGCACCTCAAACTATTTCTTCTTCTTTTTTTGTTGTTGTTGTTTAAGGGTGCCTTGTTAGTTGTGTGTCTTAGTACACTTGTTTCTGCAACAAAGTTGTATCGGCATTTGCAGGTGACATGTTCGATTCCCGGCATGATAACTATAGCTTTCGAATGTTATGTTGTCTATTGTGTCCTTCTATCTTTTCACTTCTTTCCACGAGTGCTCATCAATACAAATCTGTTTATTTAATTTATATAATGCTCTTACATCAGGTTTGGTCTGAATTTTGAGAACGTCTGCCAATCAGTGCCTGTAGCCTCGATGTCAGCGCTGACCGAAACGCTTGACTGAGACCGCAGAAGAAAACAAAATTCAATGGGAAGGTCAGGCTGACAAGGGCATTTGAAAACATGATTGCTGTTGACAAGTCCGAGTGGCTGATCAAGTCTCCACTGGGCCAGACAAAGTTGCTCAAGAACAGCAGGATTAACAAAATAACCACAAACACTTCTGCTATGAGAGTGCAGCTGGTCACAAGAATGAGCATAATGGTGGAGCGAACTTCTGCGCTGATACTGGTGATACTGTGTTGGGTGGAGAGGAGAGGTTTGAACCTATTGTTAATGTAAGAGTGGGCAATGCTGGGAACACTTGAGTGGTTACTGTTCCTGGCAAGAAACGATGTTTTAGGTAAACTAATTCCCGAAGACCGGCAGATGGTGCTGGAGGAAGGCCGTAAGGTGTTGGCTACGAATGAAATGTCCGATCTGCAGCTAAAGCTCGCTTTCGGCTGATGAAGAAGCCTGTCGTCTTGCAGGTTGTCACGGACATAGCTGCTTTCAGCTGGTCTGAAGTGTGAGAACGATGCTCTCATTACCTCTAGCGTATGTACAGTTTTCTCTGGTACAACACTTATTCTACGGGTGTTTTCGAAATATATTTTTTCGCTTTCTTTGTACATTTGAACAGAATCGCGGGAGGCAGCAAAAAGATTGGAGCTCTTACAGCGTTGCTGCAAGATCCCGTCTGTGCGTCTCTCAACTCCCGGATCGTGACACCCATAAAGTAAATTGGTTGTATCAATAGACAGAGATTTAACTGCCCTTGGCATTGCACAGATACTGAAGTGCCTGTTCTGTGCCCTGCAGCCGACATGGGCGGTACTGTCCAATGAAACCTCTTCTAAAATCCCGCTAAATGATGTCAACGGAGCTACTTTACCATTTCTAGAAAAGGAATTGATGTTGCCTGTTGAGAATCGTTTATTTGAGCCTCGTTTATTGATGGCTGCATTCTCACAGATGCCTTCGCTGACAGATCGACGCTCTCTGAAGCAACTGTTTGCTTGGCCGTCTGCAGATCTGCGACTGCCTCTAGACTGCCCCAAAGTCTCAGACATTGAATGTCTGGTGTAAATTATCTGAGCGATTTCCTCATTCTTATGCGGTGCTATACTTAAACCTATTTCCACGGCTCTTTCGGACGTGGCTGTCTTACTACACGACCTTTCGCTCGTCAGAAACGTGTCATCGGTGGCGAGAGAGCTGGCGTTCGACTCCGTAAAGATGCCCAGAGCTCCAACGAGTCGTTTTCTGTAGGCGTACGTCTTGTACGAGGCTTGGATGAGGGTGATGTTGCAGACTGTGATGATCAGGGCTGGAGTTACCTGCAGGAGAGACACCCGCAGCCACAGGTAGGAAGAGTATAAAGCGATGTAGGTGTCTTTGAATCGAGGCACAACTCGGCAGCTCTGGATGTAGTCAAGCCCTCTGCTGGAGACAACCTACACATGAAAGGGAAAACAATGTTTTAAAATTATTATGGATAGGCCATGTTTGATGGGTGTGCGTGTGTATTTATGTTTGGGTGTGTGTACTCGCACGTAAGATATGGTAAGCACAGTTCCAATTTTACAGTAAAAGGGTCATCCCATAGCTGCTTTGTTCATTACCGTCTCCAGTATTGGAGTGGTCATGTTCCATTCCTCTGCTAACAAATGTCCATCGCCGCAGTAGCAAGGCGTGATCAATTCCCACATGTAAGCATTATAGAGAGAGAAGAGAGAATGTGAGTGGAAAGAAGAGAGGAGAAATTAATGTTCTGCATACATGCATGTCCTGTAAATAGAATGCTTTTGTGTGTCATTCACTATGTCATTTACTATGTCATGTAACTTTGAAATATGGCAATGAATTCTTGATCCAAAAAAGTTTTTAAAAGAAGGCATGTAGCAGGTAGCGATTACACTGGAGAAGGTATATCATGATATTTTCACCATCGATGCTTCGCTGTAAAGAGTATGCGTGCACCAACTAGAATCGTGCTACTAGTAACTAGTAGCTTTCCCACGTTACAATTTCTCATGAGTGGCCTAAGAATACAACGAGCGTTCTTTTTTCACTATGCTCGATAAGCAAACCGAGTAGTATATTTGTAATAAATAGTAACCAGTAACAATAAATAGTAAAAAAAAGTACATTCTTCTTTGGTAATGGAAAGGCAAAGGGGTCGTTACATGCACACCCAGCCACTCCATCACTGACCCTTGTGGGAAACATTGACCCAGACTGCAGTCTCAGCAAAACCAATAGCATACATCCGCCATGAATGCAGCCGTCAGATGTGCCAACACAAAACGTCCGGCATTAGAAATGCAGTTCTTTATCCGTGTAAGCAGCAGCTACAACAAATCAGTAGTCGCACCTGCATAAGGCACCACCAGCGCATGTGTAACAGTCCATGGATTAGCCCAGACAACAAAAACAAACTACAGTAGAACCTCGCTTAACGAGCACCTCTCCTAACGAGGAATTCGCATAACGAGCAAAACAAATTGTAAAAAAATGACTTGCTTAACGAGCGACGTTTCGCATAACGAGTGGCGAGGAGAGGGGAAGTCCCGGATTGCGCGCATGTTACATCAGTCTGTGTTTAGCACTCGTTCCAATAGCATCGTAGTGTCGCCTGTGATCACACATTTTCTCAAACTTGTATTATATTGTGTTATGTGTACATGAATCCTCCAGGCCTACAAGATGACCTCCCTGAAGAATTTAAGTTTATCAAGATCCACTTTCTGCCCCCTGACACCATTCCATTACTCCACCCCATGGACCAGCAAGTTATTTCTAACTTTAAAAAGCTAATGCACTCTTCGAGCATTGTTTTTAGGTAACTAACTCTCGAAGAGTTTTGGAAAAATCACTTCTACATCGTTGCCTACCTCAAGATGATCGACAAGGCGGGGGAAGGGGTTACCAAGAGAAACCTAACTTCTACTTGGAAGAAGCTTTGGCCGGAGAGTGTTGTCGAATGTGACTTTGAGAGGTTTGAGACAGTACCTGTGGAACCTGTAGTCAACGACATTATGTCTTTGGCCACTATCATGGGATTGTAGGTGGATAGCAGTGATATCGAAGAGCTGGTGGAAGAGCACAGCCAAGAGCTGACCACCGAAGAGCTTATGGAGTTGCATTGTGTTTCACAGCAAGAAGTTTTGGAGAAAGTTTGTCAGAGGAGGAGGAGGAGGTAACAGAAAAGCAACAATCTTATGGCGAAATAAAAGAAATGCTAAAAGCATGGGAAACTGTTGCATCTTACACTGAGAAGCATCACCCTAATAAGGAAGTGGCTTTGCGCGCTGCAAATTTATTTAATGATAATGCTGTGTAGAATTTTTGCCAAATTTATAAGCGTTGGCAAAAACAGATGTCTCTGGACATCTTTCTAGTAAAAAAAAAAAAAAAGCTATGTATTATAATTATTTCGACTTTTTCCTTTCTGCAAATCGAATTCGCATTTCAGGTGGGTTCCTTCCGCGTTTGAAGAAAAGATGAAGATGATTTACTCTCCTTAACAAAATGTATATAATTTTTTTTACAATAAACGTTATAAATATTATTTAGTGAGTATTTTTTTTTTTCGACATGGGACGCATTATCGTATTTTACATTAATTTATATGAGAAAAATTGTTTCGCATAACGAGTGTTTCGCTTAACGAGTTTGATTCTTGGACGATTTATGCTTGTTAAGCGAGGTTCCACTGTATAATTTTGAGAGAAAAAAAGAATTATTTCAAAAGAAGACATAGATCTGTGGTTTTCAACCCCCCCCCCCTCCTCCCACCCGCTCCTGTAGTGCCTTCTTTAAAATATTTCTATGGCAAATAAAACAATAAGTGATTGACGTTCAACCCAACAGGACCGTACCACTAGCGTTAATCACTAAATGGCACAAAGTGCCACCATTCGGATGCAAATAACCTGGGAGCAAGTCCCAGAAACCCCGTTCAACTTTTAGGTTATATTTAGGGCCAAGACGACAGCCAGGGTGTGGCTTTATAATATGAAAACATTGCGTCCCCTAATGAGGCGAGGTTTATAGTAACAGAACAGATTTTTAACCGTCGATGTACAAACTGCTCGTCAAAACAAAAATTTCTTTGGCTCTTTGTTTTATAAATAGTTTAACTTTTTAAAACAATTAAACTAAAAGAAAATGTCAGAATAACAAATTATTACAAGTACAGATGCACTCAATTTAAAAAAAAAAATAGTACCCAGAGGGGCACCACCACTTTAAACCCCCCCCCCCCCCCCCCCCCCCCCCCCCCCCCCCCCCCCCCCCCCCCCCCCCCCCCCCCCCCCCCCTCCCCCCCCCCCCCCACCCCCCCCCCCCCAACCCCCCCCCCCCCCCCACCCACCCCCCCCCCCCCCCCCCCCCCCCCCCCCCCCCCCCCCCCCCCCCCCCCCCCCCCCCCCCCCCCCCCCCCCCCCCCCCCCCCCCCCCCACCCCCCCCCCCCCCCCCCCCCCCGATAGATAGAGTGGTTTCCCTTGGCGGATGCTCTCATACAGAAAATGGAGGACATGACCAACTCTGACAGGGCAAAAACCGCAGCTAGCAGAAAACTCATTTAGCAAACGTCACAATCTTTAGTGTCAAAGCACCTGCAAAAAACGTCGGAGAGTAGTCTCGTTAATTTCGACCGGGGCGAGGTTGGTAAACAGAACATTTTCCGGCCTGAGAGCTACAGGGCGTCAAGAACGGACATTGAAATACTTACCAAAGAGAAGACAACAAACACAAATACACAACTTAGGGGCGTCGACTCCAAGACCCCCACCCCCTTTCCCCCACCTCCCTCCCCCTCTCTCCTTTTTACAAATTGTTTGTATACACACGCAAAACAGGACGGGCTCGAGGAGCCGAATCCCGGTTTAGAAGCATAATAAAAATAATAGGTCTGTGTGCGTCTGTGACTTATACGTTGCAAACGCGCTTCCAAACTCAAATGTGTCGGGTTCGATCGCAGCTGCGGGCGATTTGGCAGCAAACCGTCTTGCGTAGCTTTTGACAGTGGTATTGACATCTGGCAGTTTGGAAATCAGTGACAAACTACGGAACGTAAAATTGCTAAGTAAAATTACAAATAGTTACTACTGGGGCTGGTTTTGCAACGTCCTGTAAAGGAAAGGAAACTAACAAAATAAAAATAGTAATAGTGATAATAATAATAGTACTAATAATAATAATAATGATAACAATGACAACAACAACAACACTGTCCTAAAAGGAAAAAGAATATAATGTGTGTAAAAAGGTGACCCAATCCAATGCTTCGCTAAAACACAATCGTTACGTTCAACCAGCATCCCTGAAGTGGAGCTTTAGGTTATAATTGTGACTAGGTTATGTGCGCTATATAAAATGGCTTAGCATTGCTCACCAAGTATCAAGTAGCCTTGAAAAGAACTGTTACAGTGTTGATGAGATCAAAAGAGACAGACCCAAATACTGTCCCGACTGGCGACGAAGTCATCTACCGGCGAGCTAAAGAACGATCCGGTAGCTGATGTAAATGTTAAATGTATAAACTTAGATTTTAGTTTTTTTTTTTTTATACATGGTAAAAGGGAATAATGTAGCTCCGTTATTAAATTTCTGTTTAGAGTAGTGGGGGGAGGAAGGGGTTTGGAGAGCCCCAGCGTCCTACAAATGTGTCCGGGAGCTCAAGTGGCCGGAGGTCCTCGGTTTGGGCCCGCATGCAACAAAGCAGGCTATAGTGCGTTCTGATTCAGTGTCATGACGAACTTTTCGAAATGCGAGGGCACACCTGGAGCAGTTGCTTAGGGGATATACATTTTTCAGCGAGTTGCGGAAGCTGAATCTGCATTTGAAAAAAAAAAAAAAAACGTTAAAGGCATTACAGTGTATAGCTGGGTTAACATGTAGTAAACAAATCAATTAATTAGTGAAAACACGCCGCTTAAAAACTGCAACGGGGAATTTTAAACGAGACAACGGATAAATAAACAGAACAACACTATCAAAATACGTCGACTCATCATAAGCTAGGTCTGGTCAAGGTCTTTCTGGGAGCAAGTGAACGATGCGGAGGCAATAGTTGTTCATTATGGTCTAGAAGGAATGGTACAGCCAGGAGTTATTAGGGATTCTGGTTTGACACTGTTTGGTCTGAAGGGAATGGCACAGCCAGGGGGGGGGGGGGGGGATTAGGGCAACTGGTTTGACACTGTTTGGTCTGAAGGGAATGGTACATACAGGAGCGATTAGGGCAACTGGTTTGACACTGTTTGGTCTGAAGGGAATGGTACAGCCAGGAGTGATCAGGGCACCTGGTTTGACACTGTTTGGCCTGAAGGGAATGGTACAGCCAGGAGTGATCTGGGCGTCCGGTTTGACACTGTTTGGTCTAAAGGGAATGGTACAGCCAGGAGTGATTAGGGCATCTGGTTTGACACTGTTTGGTCTAAAGGGAATGGTACAGCCAGGAGTGATTAGGGCATCTGGTTTGACACTGTTTGGTCTGAAGGGAATGGTACAGCCAGGAGGGATTAGGGCTTCTGGTTTGACACTGTTTGGTCTAAAGGGAATGGTACAGCCAGGAGTGATTATGGCATCTGGTTTGACACTGTCTGGTCTGAAGGGAATGGTACAGCCAGGAGTGATTAGGGCATCTGGTTTGACACTGTTTGGTCTGAAGGGAATGGTACAGCCAGGAGTGATTATGGCATCTGGTTTGACACTGTTCGGTCTGAAGGGAATGGTACAGACAGGAGGGATTAGGGCAACTGGTTTGACACTGTTTGGTCTGAAGGGAATGGTACAGCCAGGAGTGACCATGGTATCTGGTTGACACTGTATGCGCAAAGGAAATGCAAGACGGACATGCAATCAAACTACTAGTGGCACGTTTAAGCTTGAGAGATACGGAGCATCAAGAACAGACACTGAAATACTGACCAAAAAGACGAAAACAAAAACAAAAACAAAACAATTAATGGGCGTCGACGAAATCAAAAGAAGGATGGCCGTAGCAATGCACAGATTCAACAGCATTAAAAGTCTGTGGTTAAACACCAGCAAGGAAATCAATGTCAACATTTTGAGAGCATGCATCTTTCTTCTAGCAACATACGGATGTGAGTCGTGGACTATCTCCCAATCCTCGAGAAAGAAAACAGGGGTTTTTTAGCATAAATGCTATAGAACGTTTTTCAGAAACCTATGGACAAAGAAGAGAAGAAATACTGACATTAAGAAAGATCTGAACATCAAGAAAGATTGTCTAATAAGCAACATCTTGTCTTGGAAGCTGAAATATTTTGGTCACATCAAACCCCATGGCTGATTGTAAAAAGTAATAACAGAAGGCATGGTACTAGGAAGGAGGGGACAGGGGCCGACAAAAACGAAGATGGGCACAGGATATAAGTGAAACCTTGAATATGAAGGTACACGAAGCATGAGAGCTGGCGAGAGACCGAGTTTCTTTCAGGCAGACTGTGATGACAGCAACGATCTGCAAAGGACCTGCTAGATGACTTACTGATTGACTGGTGCCATCGTAATTAGAAAACTTCTCTGAAGATGAGGCGGAACAATTACGGGAAATGCACCGAGTGCTGTGATGTCAGTTCTTTAAACCCTTCTGAACAACTGGCCCTCAGTCAACGCATGCCACCTCGTTCTAGTCTGTGTCACTGCAGGCAGCGATCCCCCTGCGCCTAATTTACTTTCCAGCATAAAATGGAATGAATTCAAGAGGAGTGAAGAGATCAGAGAAATGTCTGGGCAACCACTAGTATCGACAGTGATAACACAGAGAAGAATGCGCTATACTGGGCACATTCTGAGAAGAGTCGAGCAGAGAATCACCGAACATGCACTGGAATGGGAAACTGATATGATTGAGGAAACGAAGAAGTCCAAGGGAAACCTTGAAGTGAACGTTGGTGAGAGAAACCAAAGGTGCTCGACTGGATTGTAGCCTTGATATTCAAGAGATTGTACAGAATAGAACGGAATGGAGGAATAGACTGCGAGCAATATGTGACATGTAATGGCACAACCGGACAATGAATGGATAAAGGAATTTTCTTTCCCACCCCACCCTTTTATTTCTTTGACCCCGGGGGTTCCAGTACCTAACTGTTGCCTGTATTCTAATTATAATGTTATGGAGTTCATTTTCTCATTGTCTGTTCTATCCAATACCACCATCTTTTCATTCACTACGTGATTTAGTACAAATTTAGTTCTCCCTATCCGCTCCACATTCTGTCATAACATTAACTACATTATTTATTATTAGCAGGCAGAGAGAGAGAGAGAGGGAGAGAGAGAGAGAGAGAGAGAGAGAGAGAGAGAGAGAGAGAGAGAGAGAGAGAGAGAGAGGGGGAGAGAGAGGGAGAGAGAGGGGATGGAGAGAGAGAGAGAGAGAGAGAGAGAGAGAGAGAGAGAGAGAGAGAGAGAGAGAGAGAGAGAGAGAGAGAGAGAGAGAGAGAGAGAGAATTATTAATCTCCTCTTTCTGGATGTGAACAACCTGGACAAACGTGGCATCAGTATCTATTAGGTTCACTTCAGCTAGCTAGTTGATCGATCGATCAGCCTTTTTGCACATCGGACACGTATAGAAGCGCTCGCCTTCAATTCATGTTCACTGTAATGAACGCACAGACGTGTCTTCTTCTTCTGCCTTCTATCCCCCAATGGGACTCACAACAAGACGTTCTATTCTTGGCTATTGCACGCAGCTCAGCCCATGTCCTCCCCACCTTTGTAATTTCACTCTCTCCCAGGTGCTAGTTCTGGAGATTGTCCTAGGTGAAAGGAGTGAGGTACGACAATGATCCAGACTCTCTTCGGCTTTCTCCGCACTGTGCCATAATCTTCTACTAGAAGAGACTGGCCTCATCATCGCTTGCTAGGGTTTTCTTGTATCACTTTTTGACTTTACCATGGTTGCTAGACCTATTTCTTTTAATTAAAAAAGTCTAACCCTATATGCCCTATACGCATAAAGGCGTGGGAAACGGACCTTTATGGCTGTAAGGTTCTTTTTTTTTTGTGTGGCTCTGTTTTTACAGAATGAAGTAACCAACGTAACCAACGTAACCAACGTAACCAACACCAAGCCCTACCCTACCCTTAGTCGCCTCTTACGACATGCCTGGCAGGGTGAAGTGTTACTATACTTTGCTTCCTGTGAGAGTCTATCGGGTATGTAACAGGGCTAAAATTACCCACCAGTCGGCATTTCAATCTCATGACGGCCGCCATTACTTCTCGCGACATTTCCCTGTACTCATTTCTAGGCTCAACCAAATAGCGAGCTTAGGTCTGTTAGAAATCTACCTTCATGGGATTTGCATACACAGTCATCAGGCTGAATGGAGACGAGTATGCTAAGCACACTGTGCAATAAAGGAGTATCATTCAAGCTGTTGGCATAGATCATATGATAATCCAAGTCTTCATACCTTAACGCCAGTAGTAATATCTGCTCAAAGTCCCGACCATATTCATCCACTCATTTTTCTATTGTGCTGTTATATATATGCCACACAGGGCTCGCGGTCGATTCCCCTATTCATGTGCAATCACTTCGATATCATGGATCGAATCCAGTCCATCAGATTTAGCTTCTCTAATCTACGTTCGCTTGAGATTTTAAAGGCCCCGCGTCCTCAGTCCTCGTTATTTCCTATTTCAGTGCCTGTCTGGTGATTCTCTGCTCCATTTTTCTCAGAATGTGTCCAATATCTTCTTTGTCTTATGACTGTGAGTAATGACTTATGATTTGGGTTATCTTCACGGCACTCCGGAAACGTCCATAGGTACTCAGATTCCCCCTCAAACATTTGCATTAGAATTCCGCGGTTGATGGTCCTAGTCCTATGTTGGTTGACAAGACTTCTCGTGCGTCGGGTGTGCTTCTCGTGCCCGGATGTGCCGATCTTTACTCAAAATTCTTGCACTCTTAGCAAATGTGGAAGTGCTGCTCCCAAAATCCTTCAAACGTTCTACCTCTCCAATGGCATTAACAATGTCGGCACGATCCACTGGGTAACTAAAGCAAAGCCGACTATTCAGTTGTCTCTTTCATTACGAACAACACCCGCATGCCTTGGGATGTCTTATAAACTGTTGATGCTAATAGTTGCCCAGACATTTCTCTTTTTTTTCTGCGACCTTCTTGAATTCATCATCCTACTTTGTGTTCACCAGTTTCCAATGGTATTTGTTTTCAAATGCATTTAACTTTCCCTCCATGTTTTAGTTGTTCTCCAGCTGTCACTGGCATTTGTAAAAATTGAAATAATATTAAAATAAAAATACAAAACTTTATTTTAAAACGAGGATCCTGAAATACTTTAGATAGATTTTTAACTCCAAATTTTGCAGGGGCTACTATTTTTGATTTCCAACTGCAAAATTTTTTTTTACGTGCACAGCTACACACACGGGCATCCGATCTTACTACCCACTGACCAGAGGAGATTATTAGAAGTCCAAGTGACAAAAAACCCCAGCCATCACCGGGGCCCTAACCCGGGACCTCCAGCACTCGAGGCTGACCCCATGCCTCGAGACCACTCAGCCTTCTAGACATTAAGCACTGGACTTAGCTAAAGTTACTGTTTTCCTTACCTTCTTACTGATGGCTGTGACGCTTTCAATGCCGATAGTTGCAGGATACAAGGCATGAATGGAGAAGGAGAATAGTACACACAAGACGGTAGCCAAAAGAGAAGCTTTGTAAGTGCCGACAACCCGCAACTGTTTGATGTCCCGAATTCCCGCACATCTCTGCACCGACAGGAACATGTTGAGCAGAAAGGCAGCGCTATGTAAGGCAGCAGGTAGAAAATTGTGAACGTAATTGTAGATCTCGCACCAGATGTACGACGGTAACTCTCGGTACCTCTCCAGGAGGTAGGCGTGGATGTTCAACGGAGCCTGAACCAGGCAAGTTAATAGATCCAGAACTGTGATCGCTGCTAGCAGATAGGTGGTGGGCGATCTCATGGAGATGTGCAGGAAAATGTGGATACTGAAGACGTTCAGCAGCGTGGTGAGCGACAATATCAGCGCATAGTAAACGCCGTACACCCACCAGGCCATGTCTACAGAGACGATCTGCTCGAAGTCCAGAACGCCTGTTGTCACGTGGTTTACTATGGCCACCGAGGTCAGCTTCGTGCACAGAGCTTCAATAGAAGATGCATTCTCTGCGTCTTCTGGAGGCATCAAGATCGTTATCTGCTCACAGCATGCCTGGAACATAGTTTCAAAAGCCCTCATTGTCTTTGCCAGTCTTGGAATGTCGATACTCTATAGCACGTTTTCTATATCATCATCCTCATCGTTTGTGTGTTGTATTCGCAAAGACAACAACAGTTTTAAAAATTGCGATTGTTTAAAATATTACGATTGCTTTAAAACATGACGCTGTTTTTAAATCAAATTTTTTTAATGTGACGTATGGTTGTGGATAAATGGTGAGATTCTCATTGGCTGTCTAAGAGACGAGAAACAGCTGTGCCAGGTTTCATCGATTCAATAATCCATTTAAAATTAGTTTCTGAATGTTGTAAGAACCGATTTGCACACAGGAAAAATTAGATGCATGAATATACCAGCATATATGTTTAGTCGGTTTTTATTTTTAAATTAACAAATAAATCCGTTTAGCGCCGCTTTGTAACCAGAGAAACAATTTATGTTAGTTTCTGAGATCCACCCAGGCATAATCGTTCAGGTAATTATTCTCTGTAAACCACATACCACTTCCCATTGTAAAATATGTGCTTTGATCATCACTGAAAGATGTCCAACTGAAACAATCTAAACTGCGGGTTTAACCTTGTAAAACAAGCAGACGTGCGATAGTAAAGGCGTGCACCTTGAGCAACGCGATGTCGTGTGAAAAGTTCATCGTTTCATACAAACTTCTTAAGTTTTAGATATTTCATGTTCCTGTCAACGTTTCACCCAAAAGGCGTATAGTTAATCTGGACATGGGAGCATGGGCCCACCACCACAGCGTAGGATGGAGGACGAAGTCTAGTTAGCGAAGTTTATAACGCTGAGACCGTTTATTGCTTGGCGCGGTAGTTACACAATTCCCCCCGTCGTTACACAATTCACCCAGTCGTCTGCGAAACTGGCAGGTTTATGAAAATTCATTAGCTAGCAGAGACCGCCATTTATGACGATACAGCACGTAGCACATATTTGGCTGCCTGCTAACTCTGGACCAAACATAAAGGGGGAAAATTCACAGGCATTGATTCACAGTTTTGAAACAATAACAAGAAATTAGGTCCATAATGTGCACAAGAAGAAGAAAAGAAAAATCAGCGTTTATTTAGTAGCAAATCAGCTGCATAACTTCTTCATTTTCTCAGCCTCGCGCAAACGTCATAATTCTGCAAGTTGCCTCGTATAAAGGGGAGCCATACCAGATAAAGATTATGTGCAGAGATGGGCACAGGGTGATAAACAGACAGACAGACCAGACCAGACAGACAGACCAGACAGACAGACCAGACAGACAGACCAGACAGACAGACCAGACAGACATACCAGACAGACAGACCAGACCAGACAGACAGACCAGACAGACAGACCAGACAGACAGACCAGACAGACAGACAGACCAGACAGACAGACAGACCAGACAGACAGACCAGACAGACAGACAGACAGACAGACCAGACAGACAGACCAGACAGACCAGACAGACAGACAGACCAGACAGACAGACAGACAGACCAGACAGACAGACCAGACAGACCAGACAGACCAGACAGACCAGACAGACCAGACAGACAGACAGACAGACAGACAGACAGACAGACAGACAGACAGACAGACAGACAGACAGACAGACAGACAGACAATTTCTAAAGCAAGATTGAGGGCGCGGTGGGAAAGGGGTGGGAGAGTTGATTCTCCAGTTTTTTCTTTGTGTCACCTGTCATGTGGAGGTAGTAGTACCGAATGTTGACCCCCCCCCCCCCCCCCCCTCCTTTTTGTGTAACTGCACGACAACCCCAAATGATTCTCTTGGTGTCTGCCCTGGATGCGCAAGTTAATCTTCATCTTCATCTTCTTCACATTCACCACCTTGTTTACATCTTGTTACTTTTTCCGAATCAGTTCCCCCATCCTCCAAAAATAGAGAGTAGAACTCGAATATCTGGCTCGCAATTAATTCAGACTCCGTAGTATCCGGTCTAGTTTAAAAAATAATCTTAGTAATGAAGAATGAGAACATTGTGAAAAAAAAAAAGATGATGCTGGATGGGCTGAAACTATGGCATGGGGGTTGGGGGGAGGGGGTATCATCAAGAGAGCTGTTCCAGGAAACTAGGGATCGGGATCTGTGGAGATACATGAGCGCCTACGCCAGTAGCATTGCACATAATGATGATGAAGGAAATAAGATAAAAATACCCGGCCGTGATGGTATCAATGTAAATATCATTTTAGAATTGGAGGCAAAGGACGAACGATGAAATAACCAACAATGATAATGTGGAAATTGTGACACAATGTGAAGAGGATGTGGAGGCATCATTAGATGACAGAAAAGAAAAAAATATTATCCCATATATGTCAGGGTTAAAGACAAGTGAGACAGCGCTACAGTGCATTCCCGAGCAGGAGGCAGCCATGTCAGCTGAGACAATCTGGTTGCGTTGTTAAGTGGAGAGAGATTGTCAGGAGAAACAGGACACAATACGTATTGGTAATTGTAGTTTCAGCTTCATAGCAAACGAGTCACCCCATAGTTGCTCCGCTCCTGTGCCAACGAAGAACACACGTAATTTTTATCAGTCCCTTGTGGAATGATTGACAGACTGCTGTCTCAGCATATGCACTAGCATACAGGCGCATTAAAAGCATACCGTAGCCATCAGAAGTGCTAACACAAAGAGTCCGACATTAGAAATGCAGTTCATCATCGACGGTAGCAGAGGGAACCAACAAATCAGCAGTAGCACACGGTATCAATTTTAATCACATAAGGGCACCACCAATACTGTGACGAAAAGGAATCGCGCCATTTTCTGAATCTACAATTCACAACACCACGTTGGTCACAGTCGAAAAACATTCCAAATGAAATCCGCAACTCACAAGGTCGCACCATGCCTTCAACTCAATAGCTGGGAGACGAAACTATATCATTTCAGTCTACAAATTCAGCAAAAATGCAACGTCCACCGTCTGGCAGAAGCAAACAATCTACAAGGACTCAAAACAGTGACCGTGCCTAGCGTCCATTTTGACAGAAAGTCAAAATACGTGAACCAGTCATCTTCACAAACTAAAAAATTGTAAGTTTTAACTCCTTTATCTCAAGCCGATTTCCCTCTTTCATGTAATTACTTATCAAACAACAGTTTTTAACAAAAGTTTAAATAATTCGTGTAAGTTTTACATCACCAGGATATCACTCAAAGCGATAGACACGCGGTGACACAAAGTGCCACCATGCGGATGAGGATCACCCGTGGAGAGGTCCTAGATACCCTTTTCAGCCGTTACCCTATATTTATGGCCCAGCCATATTCAGGGACCCCGGCAAAAGCTGGGTGGGGCTTCAAACAACGCACAATTGCATTTCATATGGGGACAGCTTGAACTGTAACTTTGTAAGTTAATATTTTGTTCATTTTAAGTGTGTGTGTGTGTGTGTGTGTGTGTGTGTGTGTGTGTGTGTGTGTGTGTGTTGTGTGTGTGTGTGTTTCATACGGTACGGTGTCCATTATATTTATTTTTCTTGCAGTTAAGTTAGACATTAAAGATTTTCTCTTAAACTGTGAAACTTTAGTTTTGCATTTCTTTTTTCTGTAATAAATGTTTAACACGTACAGTACAATACATAAAAAACGTTTTTAAAGTACTGGCCCGCACTAAGGGTAGTTAGCATCATTTGGATATTGTCTCTAGGTTATGCCGGTGTGTTGGGAAATAAGCAGCCAGATAGACTGGGCGGCTCTGCACCACTTAGTGGGGAATTGATGTATGACAAGGTAGATGTTGTGAAGGCCCTTTAAAATCTAGTAAACAGTGCGGAGGCAAACATAGATTTTAAAAAAAAGTAAAGGTAAAATCGGGAGATGTAAACCAGTGTCATTGCACACGGTTATAAACCATAAGTGCTCTGCCACCAGTCCAGTACGGACAGCAGATAAGAATTGTCCGCCTGTGTCGCCGTTCGCCCGTAACTCTGTAGCTACAACGTCGTTCCTCCATTTACCCCAGAGTGTCAACTCTGGCACCTATTTCCTAGAGGCTGGGTGAACCCCGGGAACCGACTGGTTTCGAACACCGACTGTGGCTGCAGCGAGTCGCAGCTGGATTTGAAATCGAGCCTCTTATCGACAGCGCTAACGCGGGGCATAGATCTTTACGGTCTGAGGGGAATGGAGCTGCGAGGAGTTACCAGGTGATGTGGCTGACGCTCAACACTCAGGGAAAGGATGAGACGAATATATAATCAGACAGTTACCGGTGCGATCCGAACTGGAACTCTTCGCTTGCTGCTGAAGATGGGGACGAAGCACTTATGAGAGTGTCCCGAGTGCTGTGATGTCGATTCTTAATTCAACATTGAACACTGACCTGTACTAAAAGATCAGACAACAAATTATAAGAGCAGATTCTGGTATAAAAAGGAGTGTTTTAAATTATGATGCTGAGGTATTTATAAAACTTCCAGATATCCGGCTTGTTTGATTGACCTTAACACCGAACAATGATTACTCGGTGACATAAAGGGTCACCATTCGGATGAGAATCACATGGGGACAGGTCTTAGAAACTCAGTTCAACCGTTAGGTTATATGAGGGTCCCCGGCTACAGACAGAGTGGGGCTTTAAAATAAAAAAAAATGTTATGTGGTCAGCATCACGCCGGCCGCCTTTTTCAAAGCCTTTTAGGCGTACAAGATATATAGGGCTAGACCTATATTTTTATAGATCAATCGGCACTTGGTGGGTAATGTGGTCAGCATCGCGCCGGCCGCCTTTACTTCACAGGACTGCAACCGGTTCCCACCCAAAGCTGGGTCGACCTGGGAGTCGAGGTCATTTTTGAAAAACATCCCGTTCCGTCAGGACGCGAACCTGCCACGTTCCGATCCGCATGCGGGTGTCTAGCCGCCAACGCCATGGCGACTCCTGCAGTCAACTGTACTTCCTAGATATTACAATTCCTAAACTTTTTTTTTTTTCAAACAAGAGCGTCGGTTAATCCCGTGTTTATCATGCGTCAAAGCCGTGTGTTA